TGTCTTGTTCCGTTGGCAAAATGTCGCTTTTATCTCATCAATCCAAGAACAAATGCCCTTATTTTAAGAAAAAATAACTTATCTAGATTTGGATGTATTTCCAGTGTAAGGATTAGTAGGAGCATTTCTTTATATTTAAGCCTGTATCGCTTAAACTATTTAGATTCTCATTTTTTAAAGCCAAGCATGTCTGTTATTCTAGCACCGATCCACCATGTTTAAAAGCTTCATTCAAGCTGAAAAATTATGAATTTTACACCCATTGAGCGCTGCTGTGTAGCGTGTCCCTGGCCTGAAATTGTTGGAACTGTACACAGCTTGCCCTTAATAACCTTTCAGCATGCAGATATGGTCTTTAAAAAATAAAATTCTGAATAAAACGCACATCTAAGGGTGTCAGTTCCAATTCTGTCCTTACCTCTACAGCTAACGGGGAAGGTAATGCAGATGACATCTGAAAAGATTCAACGGAATAAAAGAAATTTAAGATGGAGAGGAATGACCTACAGGCAATCTTTTTAATACTTCTACTGACTTAATATCATAAAGGAGCAAATAAAAAACTAAAATGACCTTTCTCTGAAATGCAAGTGAGCCTTTAAATGATGAAGAAGCCGCAGGAGTCTGTGACGCATCCTAATTACCAACAGCGTTGCATAAAAACTCCCCTCACACGCTTGGCTCAAGCTGTGCATTGATTTTTACTTTGTAAATAATCCACTATGATATCTAACATGCATCTCCAGCTGATTCCCGCTGAACGCTCGTGTTGTCCAGGTTGTTTTTAGCGCCGTGGAGAACCGTTGGAGGCTGATTCACGCCTCAGTAATGAGGAGCGCTACGTTCACGTGTTTTTACAACCTCCCGCCACCTTGTTGATTATCCCACAAATGGAAATAAAGGTTTGAGGTTTATTTGTAGAATTTTTTGGGGGGTGTTCTGAGTGTTGTAACAGGTTAAAACAACAACAGCAGCACAAGACAGAAAGGCAGGGTTAAGTGAAGAGAAAAACATTGGTATGGTAACAAACCGTGTCTTTAGAGTGGCCCGTTAGGAAGAAATAGGGGGAGCCATGCTTGTCACTTTTCATGCACATGGAGAGACTGGAAGATACCATTCCTATAGAAGGGGAAGTAACAACCTAGACCAATCAATTAGTGATAGATCACTGAAATGGACAGAAGATAAACTAGTGTTAGTCAAGTCAGAAAAGGAAGCAAATATTATTGAGACTAAAGAATACAAGAGTACAATAAAAAGATTATTATGGATATAAATGCATGCTGTATTTTATCAGACGGTAAGATAATACAGTTGTAGTCTTATTAGAGGGAAATGAAGCTGATGATGTTTGTCCTCCTGGTACTCACCGTACTCGGGGACCTGCCCCGTCCCCCTCTTCAGGAGGAGACGAACCCGTCTGCCCCCAGACTTGATGAGCTCGATGGCCCTGGCGTGGGTCATGTCTCGGGTGCTCTCTCCATTGATCTCGATGATTTGGTCCCCGACCTGCATGGCAGAGAGGAAGATAAGGGAGTCCTAAGAATCAGATGGAGAGAAGAAGACATTTCAGCCCCAGCGAGCGCTCTTTGCTCAATGTGTTAGCCAGCTAGGAGGGAAAAGATTTTCCTGTATTATTGCAATACGTTTGGAAGTGTTTCATATCTAGAAATATCCCAAACTGGAAGGAATGAGGGACAAATTTATAAAAAAAAACCAGCTTTGGAATTTTCATATACAAACTAAACATTCACTTTATAATTATTGGGATTTGTCTAAAGGGATTCAATCCAGTGAAAGATGAGATTAAGCTTAATTTGGGGCAAAACTGTGATTAAAAAAAGAAGAAACCCCTCAGCTCTTTGTGGATGGATTCAGAGCAGTGGCGGCCGGCCCATAGGGGGCGCTGGGGCACCGCCCTCCCTGATAAGAAGAGAGAAACGTCAAATATATTTTTACAAATTAACTCGTAAAAGTCAGTTTTACACTGCAAAAAATCCAAATCTAGATAATATATTTTTTCTTAAAATAAGTGCATTTGTTCTTGGATTGAGCAGGAAAAAGAGACATTTTGCCAATGGAACAAGAAAATTTACACTTATGTATAGGTACACACTCTGAGTACACTGGAAAAACAATCTAGAAATAAGTTAAAATTTCCTAAATTAAGTGTATTTATCCTTAATTTGAGTATGTAAGTTAGTTAGTTTGCCAATAGGAAAAGTATTTTTACTCTAAAAATAAGATCATTAGATAATATACACTTTAAATAAGAAAACACGATTGTGTTTTCGTATTTTAAGTGTAAATTGTCTTGTTCCATTGGCAAAATGTTTCTTTTACCTCCTCAATCCGAGAACAAATGCACTTACTTTAAGAAAAAATAACTTCTCTAGATTTGATTTTTTACAG